CCGGGGGGGGGCGCCCGCTCCTCTGCACGAGCCCCCTGCGCAGGAGCGGAGCCAGAGCTGCCTGTGGGGGGAGGGGACACACGGGGTCAGCCCCTCCCCCACCACCTGCGGGGCGTGGCGGTGGGGGGAGGGGTGACTCACCTGGGTCAGGGCGTGGTCACACAGGGGCTGGGCCTGCTGCAGCAGCTCCGCCTCCGGGAGGGGCTCCGGGCTCTGGGGGAGGGGCTTTGGGTGAGGGGGGTGGGGGGAGGGGATGTGGAGCCCCTCCCTCACCCGCCAGGTGTGTCCCCTCCCCCTCACCTGGCTCAGCACCTGCAGCAGGGCGTGGCCCGCGGAGCGGGGGAGGGGCCGGAACTGCCGAGGGCGGCGCTGGGTAAAGGGGGAGGGGCAGAGATTGGGGGCGGAGCCTCCTCTGCCCCTCCCCCCACCGTGGGGACCAGAGGGGTGCCCTGGGTGGGGGAGGGGACTCACCTTGGGTGGGGCTGGGGGAGGGGCCGGGCACCGCCCTTGCGGAGGGGGCGTGGGGGGGAGACCCTGCTCTGTGATATGCAAATGATATGCAAATCAGTATGCAAAACAACCATCAGGCCCCACCCACCACCAAACTCTCACTCTTAGCCCCGCCCCTTTCAGAGGCACCTCCCACCCAAGCCCCGCCCAACAAAGCCCCACCCTTTTAGGCCCCGCCCCTCCTGCCCCACCCCTTTAGGCCCCGCCCACCTCTCCGGTGCTGCCGCAGCCGTTGGTCGAGGCGGGCGCAGAGGGCGGGGCCAAAGTGCTGCAAGATGGCGGCGGCGCGGCCGGAACGGAGCGGGAGCGGGAACAGGGCCAGGGAGCGCAGGGCCTGCGGGAAAACACCTGGAATACACCTGGAACACACCTGGGATACACCTGGAACACACCTGGAACACCTGAGATACACCTGAAACACACCTGGGATACACCTGGAACACACCTGAGATACACCTGGGGAGCCAAAACACACCAGGGATACACCTGGATCCCAAAATACACCTGAAACACACCTGAGATACACCTGGGATACACCTGGAACACACCTGGAACCCAAAATATACCCAAAACACACCTGAGATACTCCTGGGATACACCTGAAACACACCTGAAACCCAAAAAACACCTGGAATACACCTGAGATGCATCTGGGGAGCCAAAATACACCTGAAATACACCTGGAACCCAAAATCCACCCGAAACACACCTGAGATACACCTGGAATACACCTGGGGGTCCCAAACACACCCAAAATCCACCTGGAGGAACTCCAAAATCAACCTGAAGGTGAAAACCTGACCGGGGCCCCCGAAATCTTCTACCTGGGGACCCCAAAACAAAGACGGGGACCCCAAAACGAACCTGGGGACCCCAAAATTCACCTGGGGACGCAGCCGGGGGTCCCTAAATCCAAGCGGGGACCCCCCCTCACACTCACCCTCTCGTAGGCGCCCCTCGCCCACGTTCCCTGCGCCTCGTCCCGCCACTCCCGGAGCCAGCGGGCGAACAGCGGGTTCGGGTGGGCCCGGGGGCGGCGGCGGCGCCGGGAGGAGGCGGCGGCGGCCGCGGCCATGATCGAATTCTCCCGCCGCCGCCGCCGCTGCCCGGAAGTGCCCGCCCCCGAGGGGCCGCTCCGGCCGCGCTCGCTGCTTTGGAAGCTGCGACTCCTCTGCTCTGGAGGACTCCGCTCTTTCCCGCCCGGAGGCCAAACTCGTCTGCTCTGGAGGTCTCCGCTCTTTCCCGCCAGAAGCCAAACTCGTCTGCTCTGGAGGTCTCCGCTCTTTCCCGCCCGGAGGCCAAACTCGTCTGCTCTGGAGGTCTCCGCTCTTTCCCGCCAGAAGCCAAACTCGTCTGCTCTGGAGGTCTCCGCTCTTTCCCGCCCGGAGGCCAAACTCGTCTGCTCTGGAGGACCCCGGCCGTTCTGGGTCTCCCCAAATCTTCCTCGGGTCCCCCAAATCCTCCCCCCCACCCCCCAAATCCTTCCGCGCCCCCCCAAACCCCAGGACGCGTCCAGGTGCAGCACAGCAAAACCTTTATTGTTTAGAAAATCATTTTAAAAACAAACTTGGGGGGGCACCCCCAAAATAACACAGACCCCCGGTGGGGGAGGGGCGGGGGCACCCCAAAGTAACACTAATGGCGGGGGGAGGGGCACCCCAAATGAACACGAACCCCCCCGCGAGGGCGGCACCCCAAAATCCCAGCCTGTGGTGGGGGGAGGGGAAGGTGGGGACCCCCTCACCCCCCCCAGGTGGTTTTGGGGTGATGGGGGAGGGGTGGCACCCTGGGACCCCCCCGGGGATGAATTTTGGGGGGGTGGCAGCACCGGTTTGGGGGTCCCACAGGTGTGAGGGGGGTTGGGGAGGGGGTGCATGGGAAGGGTTGGGAGGGTTTTGGGGTCCCCAGGGAGGTTTTCGGGTCCCCAGGGTGGTTTTGGGGAGCCCAGGGTGGTTTTGGGGAGCCCCCATCCCCTCCCAGAGGCGTCCGGCAGCTGGAACTCGCCAGGACTTCGCTGTTTTGGGGATTCCAGGAGGGGTTTTGGGGTCCAGGAAAGGATTTTGGGGTGCAGGGAGGGATTTTGGGGTACAGGGAGGGGCTCGGGGGGGGTTTTGGGGTGCCCGGATTTGGGGAGGGGGCTCAGAGGAAGGCGTCGCACCACTCGCGCAGGCAGCCCGAGCAGTCGCGGCTCTGTTTGGCGTTGGCCCCGCACGTCTCCTTGAGCCACTCCCGGAACAGCTCCTCGTCCTTGCGCAGCACCAGGAACTGCCCCAGCACCACGTAGGCCTGGCCCGGGGACAGCCGGGTCACCCTGGCCTCGGGGACATCGCCGGTGTCCCCTCCCTGACCCTCCTGAGCCTCCCCCGGGGGCTCCTGTCCCACCCCCCCGGCCCTGGCAGCTCCCCTGGGACCCCTCCCCAGCGGGGTCCAGCCTTGCCTCAGTGTCCCCAAAGCCCTGGAGGTGTCCCCAAAGCCCTGGAGGGGTCCCCAGAACCCTGGAGGTGTCCCCAAAGCCCTGGAGGGGTCCCCCAAAGCCCTGGAGATGTCCCCAGGTGTCCTCAAAGCCCTGGAGGTGTCCCCAAAGCCCTGGAGGTGTTCCCAAAGCCCTGGAGGGGTCCCCAGAGCCCTGGAGGGGTCCCCAAAGCCCTGGAGATGTCCCCAGGTGTCCTCAAAGCCCTGGAGGTGTCCCCAAAACCCTGGGAACGTCTTTATCCAAGCCTTTCCTCAGTGTCCCCATTGTCCAAACCCTTTCCCCGATGTCCCCAAGTCTCCCAAGATGTCCCCCGATGTCCACAGGTATCCCCAGGTGTCCCTGATGTCCCCCCACGTCCCCAGATGTCCCCAAGTGTCCCCAGATATCCCCAAGTGTCCCCAGATGTCCCCAATGTCCCCTGATGTCCCCAGCTGTCCCCACCTTGTCGAAGCCCTTCTCCTCCAGTTTCCTGCCCAGCACGTCCCCGATCCCGGCCAAGGTCCCCACCGGCTTCTCCCCCATCGGCTCCGCCACGAAGTCCCGGTGCTTCTGTGACGTGGAGGACATGGCGCCTGGGGACAGCCAGGGGACAGTGGGGACACCGGGGGGACATTGGGGACAGCTCAGGGGGACACCAGGACAGAGCTGGGGGTGGGGACCCTGAGGGGACACGGGGACACAGCGGGGACAGGGAATGAGAGGGACATTGAGGGGACACTGGGGGGACACTGAGGGGACACTGGGGGGACACTGAGGGGACACTGGGGGGACACTGAGGGGACACTGGGGGGACACTGAGGGGACACTGAGGGAGCACCGAGGGGATACTGAGGGGAAACTGAGAAAGCACTGAGGGGACACGGAGGTGGCACTGAGGGGACACTGGGGGCACACTGAGGGAGCAATGAGGGGACATTGAGGGGACACCGAGGGAGCCCTGCCGGACCCTCCCGCCCCTCCCCGACTTCCC